CGCTGTTCGCCTCGCGCGTGCTGCCGCACGCGCTCAACGGCTTGTGCGAGTGGATCCTGCTCTGCTGTTTGAGCGGTTGCGACTACACAGAGGGGTTGTATGGGATCGGCATCCACAAAGGCGTGCAGCTGCTGGTGGACGCGCTGCAGGGACGCCGGCTGACGTTCGACTGCGAGGACGCGGAGCTCGCGCAAATTGTGCGGAACGTGGTAGACCTGATGGGCTGGGACCCGCAGAAGTCGGAGCGGCTTGCGGAAGAGATCAGCAACGCGTATCTGACGTTCAAGTACCACCGTGTGTACGATCCGCGCGAACAGGTGTGCACTTCGGTGAGTGGCTTTGCGGGCGACGAGGAAAAGCTCGCGCAGCTGGTTGGCAAGCTGCTGGACGCGAAGTTAGTGCAGCGGCTGGTGGCGGGCGGCGTAGACTTGAAGACGCTGCAGGTGGTCGACGAAAATGTGCAGCCTGTGCAGTTTGAGCCGCTGGCGCGGAACGAAGCGCGCGCGCCGGCGCAGGAGAACGTCGATGCGCGCAACGTGCCTAGCGAGGAGCGCCCGTTGCAGTTCCGCAAGCGCAGCGCGGCAACGTTTTCGATAGCGCAGTACGCAAGCCAGATCGTGGTGCCCGAGTCGGACGAGCTGTTTGCCGCGTTCAAGAAGAAGAAGGAGACGCCGGACGAGCACTAGCGCGACGCTCCGGCGAACGCCACTGGCTGCTATGGCATTTTGCACCACAGATCGGTCGCAAAGTTAACTACCGCATCGGTGTCGTTCGTGCGTAAGAACTTAAGGTGCGGCGAATCTTCTGCAACCTTTAAGTCTGTTGGCTCGCTCAGTAGCGGAATAAGATCGACGTATTCTGAGTGCTTTGTCAAGTGATGGAGAAATTGGATCAGTTCGGTTTTGCCGGCGATCGCCTTGGTGAAACACAACTTCAGAATCTCGGCAACGAGATTGCCGACGTAAACATGCGGAGAAGTCTCCGATTTTTCGGTGTAAACAAAGGGCAGGAATCCGCTCAAACTGTAGAAGAGCACGCGATCTGTCATGTGCGCAAGGTAATAGGTGTAGTAGTAGTTGGCGATTAAGATTTCGACGTTTTTCTGTGAATACAACAGCGGGTCCGTGCGGTTGTTGCGTAGGTGTGCGAAAAACTGTGTAGCAGTGGGCCGCTCGAGTAGCTCTGGGCGCTTCTTTAAACGCGAAAGGCACGGCGGCAAAGCGATTTTCGGCGCCTGCTTCAGCTTCTCGGTCTTTGCAAGCACACTTTCGCTGTCTGTCGTTTGCGGGTCCTCAAGCATTTTCGCGATGTGCGCGTCAGACGCGTCAAGTAGCGAGTCGAATTGCGCGAAGAATCGCTTTTTCTCGTGCGAGAACGAGCGCGCGCTGCCGCCTGGCGGCTGCAACTGCTTCATCTCGCTGGCGAAACAAGCGTCCAGCGAGGGGTCGGCGATTGCATCGAGGAAGCGCAGAAAGTTCTTGAACGGGTAGACTTCGACTATGAAGGAATACCAACTCGGCAGGCAGTTGAGAAAGTCCTGTCCGGTGTAACGAGAACTAGAGGTGCAGTTGCTCGCTGATAGATCCATGTTAAAGTCCGAGGCGTACCACTGGTCGAACACGTTGTTCAGTCGTCTGTAGTCGCGGTCGGCCAAACCTAGTGGCACGAAAGTCCAGGGCACGCGCGCGAAATTGTCGAGAAACGGATATCGCTGCAGCCTCGCGTCTTTCGAGTGGTTCAGCGGCAAGAACGGGAATTCAACTCTCTTCCAGTTGAGACCCACCGAGGTATGCTCCGCCGGGGGGATGCATTCGTTCAGCAGCGTGCGCGCGAAGTGGATCGCGAACAGGCGGTTTTTGCGGTCGTCGATCTTCTGCAGGCGTTCTTCGAGGTTTTGCATAAAGTCGGCGAAGAAGAGTAGAAATTTGCTGAAGACTTGCTGCGCAGTCTGCAGCGCGACAAGCCGCGAAGGCTGGAAGTGCTTGGAGTGCAGCAAGTGCATGTGCAGAGCGAGTTGCTGGAAGGACGCGTCGGATTGGCGGGGCGGCGCGCGTTGTGGCTTGGCGGACGCGGGCGCGCTGCTCAACAACGCAGCGGGCACTACCGCCATCGGCAGCGCGAGGCGGGCGGCGGCGCAGCCGCGCGTGTGGCGCGCGAGGCACATTGCAGACACTCGCATGGAAGCGGCGCGGCGAATTAGCGAAAATAGCTTTTTCGCAATTAATGTGGCGGCTGCATGGCGCGGCGAGCCTGGTGCACGCCGAGTCTGTGTAAATATTCGGAAAAATAAAAGTCCGCCATGTTCAACGGAATGGAGGGCCTGCAAACGGACGTGTAAGTGCGTGGCTGCGGGCCGTAGCTACAATATAGGCGAGGAAGACGAAAAGAAGATCAGCCGCTACGCGATCGTGGGCGCGTTCGCAGCGACCGCCATCTTGATCTCGGACTTGGTCCTGTGCGTTGCGTCGATCGTCGCAGACATGTCGAAGCTGGCGGTGCTGGTGCTGCTCTACTCGATCATCGTGACCGCCGTCTTCTCCTACTTGATGCTGACTGCCTGCAAGCCGTCCGCGTTCTGGCGGTTGCAAACGTTCCGCTGGGTGCAGCGGCTGTTCATCTCGATGATTTTGCTGGGCAAGTTGTTCAGCACCTGCGTGTACATGTACGCGTGCGCTGCGGCGGTGTTCGCCGACGACGCGCTGTTCACGGCGATCTATAACAACAGTCCGCGCTCCATCGGCAAGACGCAGGCGAGAGTAAGTGCGCGCGCGCGGCGTAGTAGGTGGGCGGGGTGCTCGTGGTCGTCTCTTCTTTGGTGAACCTCGCGGCGACGGGGGTGTACTTCGCAATGTTCAAGTAAGTTGGCGCGGCGCCCAGGCAGGTTCATCTCAGACGTTCATCGCGCGCAGCCAGACAACTTCTCGGCGGTGCAGCAGGTTCCGTCGCAGCCGGCGCCGACGCAGATTTAGCCGAAATTGATTAGTAAATCAATTTTCGGAATGATAATGCGCGAGATGCTGGCCGCTGCGTGGCGCGTGGTGAACAACCTGAAAGTGCTGATCGCGTTGGTTTGGGCGGTGAACGCAGGCATTCTGGCCGCGCTACTCGCTTCGTTTCAGTCGCTGACGAAGCTCGGCCCGTACCTCGAACTATACTACCACTACGACTCGCTGGGCGCGCGCGTGCGCGACCTGTGGCGCGCGTGGGAAGTGGACAAGTTCATGGACTTGATTTGCTACTGCGAGACTCGGTTTCACTTGATGCGCGCGCTGATGTGGGGCCTTGGCACGATGGCGGTGCTGCTCGCGCTGGCGCTGACGAAGCTGCTGCTCGCAATGAGCGCGGAGGCCAGCGAGCCGACTGTCTGCATGGCGCAACGGCCGAAGCCGAAGTCGGCGGGACGGGTGCCGCCGAAGTCCGCGTCGGAGTCAGCGGCGGCGCCGCGGCTCCGCGGCAAGCGCGGCAAGACGCACTGATCACTCGCGCTGAGCGTTCTGCGCAAGTGAGAGCACAGTTTCGAAGCTCGCTTTCTGCAGCTTCGCGAAGCCGAGCTCGAACCTGTTGGCGGCGAGAAGCAACTTACTGCAAGTTCGCGCGAAGATGCAGCGCGTCGGCGAAGAAGGTGAGCGTGACCTCGTTGCCGAGGAAGCGCAGCAGCGAGGCGATGAGCCGCAGCTTTCGCGCGGGCAGCAGGCACTCGTGCGCGGCGCTAGAGTCGACGCGCAGAAAGTCGCCAGACTGGTGAAACGAGCGCAACGTGAGCTGCGAGCGGTAGCCGCTGCTCTCGACTTCGAGGTGGAAGCTGCCCGCCTGCGACGCGCCGGGCTCGATGCGCAGCCGCACGGCGTCGAGCTCGGCCTTTTTGTAGCCCTTGAGACTTTGCGAGAGGACGCTGAGCAGCAGTTCGTTGGTGAGGCGCAGACTCGGCAGCGCGCCGGCCACCTCGGCGAGCTTCACGACTTCTTTCTCGCCGCGCTTCCAAGGCACGCGGAAGCGGTGGCGCACTCCGTTGCTGAAACAGCGGGAGAGCTCGAGCCCGTCCGCGACGCAGAACTCGATCGGAACCGAGTTGAAGTACTTCGAGTTCAGCACGAACAGTCGCAGTTGGTCCAAAGAGACCTGAATGTCGAGCGGCGCCTCGGCGAGCTCGAACGTCTCGAACGCGCTGCGCGCGTCGAGCGTGATGAAGAAAAGGCGGTTGTCTGCGAAAGACGCAGTGCTGAACACGAACGTGTCGCGCGAAACGGAAATGGTAAGCGTGGCGTCGCGCGACTGCGCGCTTTGCATCATCACTTCGACGCAGCGCTCGAAGACCGCCGCGTGCGGAAACTCGCAGCGGAAGCGCACTGGCGGCACTGCGCGCGTTGCAGCGGGCGCCGTCGTGGAGGCAGCGAGCGGCGCGCTGGAAAGCGCCGCGCAGTCAGTCATTGGCGAGCGCCGCGGGCGGCTCGGCGACGCGCGATTAATGCAAAATCAAAATAGTTTTCCGCGCCGCTAATTTAGCGGCACAACGCGTTCCCAGGGAAACTGCTCGCGGCCGAAGTGCCCGTAAGCGGCCGTGTTGCCGAAAATCGGCTGGCGCAGCCCGAGGTGCTTGATGATGAATCCCGGCCGGAAGTCGAAGTGCCGCTTGACGATCTCTTCGAGCTGCAAGTTCGTCAGCCCGCGCTTTGCAGTGCCGAACGTGTTCACGTTCATCGAAATCGGGTCGGGCAACCCAATGCCGTAGCAGATCTGGATGCATACACGGTCGCAGAGCCCCGCCGCAACCAGCGACTTGGCCGCCTGCCGCGCGGCGTACGCGCCGGAGCGGTCGACCTTCGTGCTGTCCTTGCCCGAGAACGCGCCGCCGCCGTGCGAGCCCCAGCCGCCGTAGGTGTCCACAATGATCTTCCGGCCGGTGAGCCCCGCGTCGGCGCTCGGCCCGCCGAGAACGAAGCTTTGGCTCGGATTGATGTAGAAGACGGTGTTCGCGTCGAGGTAGTGCGCCGGGATCACGGCGCGCACGACGCGCTCCGTGAGCTCCGCGCGGATGCGCTCGAGCGGCACGTCTTTCTCGTGTTGCGCGGAGATCAGTACTGAGTGCACGCGCAGCGGCTTCAGTCCGCCGTCCACGGACTCTTGGTACTCGACGGTGACTTGCGTCTTGCCGTCCGGGCGCAGCCACGGAATTGCGCCGTTCTTGCGCACTTCGGCGAGTTTGCGCGCGAGCCGCTGCGCGAGGCAGTGCGAGAGCGGCATCAGCGACTCAGTCTCGTTGCACGCGTAGCCGAACACCAACCCCTGGTCGCCGGCTCCAATTTCTTCGAGGTTTTTGTTGAGGTGCACGCCCGCTGCGATTTCCGGCGACTGCTCGTTCATCTGCAACAGCACAGTCATGGTCTGGTAGTCGAGCCCTTTCTCTTCGGCGTCGTAGCCCACTTCTTTGACCTTTGCGCGCACAACTTGCTCGAAGTCGACTTTGCCCTGAAACGTCACCTCGCCGAAAACCATTATCAGGTTCTTTTTGCACACGGTCTCGCAGGCGACCTTCGCTTCGGGGTCGACGCGCAGACACGCGTCGAGCACGGCATCCGAAATTTGGTCGCAGAGCTTGTCGGGGTGCCCTTCGCAAACACTCTCGCTGCTAAACAGAAACGTGCTCATTGCGGCAAGAGACTTGCGCTATTTCCCTAATTTAATTTTCTTTACAATTAATGGACTAGATCTACACGTTTTTCGCCGCGGCCACTTTCGCGCAGACTGACGACATGGATCTGGATCTCACCGCCGTGGGCAACGTCGATCACAAGTCGGACGAGGAGCCCGAGGCGCCGAAGCAGGACGACGACGAGCTGGCCGTGCTGTCGGACCTCATCGACAACTTCAACTGGTCGAACGACACGGTCGAGCAGGCGGCGCGCACGATTCTGAACCCGGCGGCCGACGAGACTGCGCTGACCGGCGCGGTGATCAGCATCAAGAAGCTGCTCTGCACGACGCGCGACGCGGTGTACCCGCTGGCGCAGGAGGTGATCGACTCGGGCGTGCTCAAGCAGCTGGTGAAGTTCATCCAGATGCGCGAAGCGAGCAAGACGCTGCGGCTGCAGTCGGCGTTCTGCCTGACGAACATTGCGGCGGGCACGGACGAGCAGACCGCAGACGTCGTCGCCGCGGGCGCGATCCCGCCGCTGATCGCGCTGCTGGAGTCGTACGACACGCAGCTGCGCCGGCAGGCGCTGTTTTGTCTTGCGAACATCGCGGGCAGCGTGCCCGAGTTCCGCAAGGTGCTGGTCGCGAACTCGCGCTACATCGCGGCGCTCGCGGCGATTCTGCGCGACTCGCGCGACGAGAAGATCGAGGAGCTCGCCGGCTGGAACATCCGAAACATTCTGGCGCTCGGCGGCTGCCCGCACCAGCACATCGTGCCCGCGATCAAAATCTTCATGGAGCGACTCGCGTACTTTCTGTCGGACACGGAGACCATGTACTGCATGCTGACGGAGGGCTTCGCCTCGTTCACCTCGACCGGCCCGCTCGCGTCCTCGATCGCGCCGTTCGTGCGGCTCGAGTCGCTGGACCTGTACTTGTCCGCGCTCTCGATTTTGAACGACAACGTGCAGATGCTCCGCTTCATTTGCGAGAGCTTTTCGGTGCTCGCGGCGGACGCAGAGGGCGCGGAGTTCTTGGCGGCGTCGAATTTGGTGCTGCCGCTGCTCTTCGTGGTGAAGTTTGTGACGGTCTCGAACATCCGGTCGTACGGGCTCGAGGTGCTCGAGAAGCTGAGCCGCAAGCTTACGCAGCAAACCTTCCGCGAATACATCGCGGCGGGCGCGCTGATTGCGCTGTCCGAGATCGCGTGCAACACCTTTGTCTTTTCCGTGTCGCAACGCGAGACTGCGCTGGCGTGCCTCTTCAACATCGTCAGCTACATCGAGACGGATCAGATCGCGCTGTGCTGCGCGCCGACCGTGATCACGCGGCAGTCCTACATTCGCGCGCTGAAAACGCTGCACAAATACAGTCTGTTTTGGCCGAACGCCGCGGCGGGCGGCGCGGCGTTGAAGTCTGCGCCGAAGAAGCAGTCGGTGCTCGAGATCATGTACCGCTTGTTTGCGCAGCTGGACGCCGACGAGAGCCGCTCGCTGCGCGTCAAAGCCGCCAGCACGCTGCTGCAGATCTTGCTGAAGATGACGAAGCGCATGCTCGGAGACTTGATAAACCCGGTGTTCGTAGAGCACGTGGTCGAGATGACGGAGCTGCTCGCAGAGCATATCTACAGCGTCGCGCAAAGTAGCGACGACATTCCCGCGCTCGCGCGCGACTTCCGGCTGAACTGCGACGGCTTTCTGCTGGTCGCGAAGCTGTTGCAGACGGCCGGCGAGCTCGGCGTCGCCGGACAGAACGCGGTCGCGGACGCGTTGCACCTGTGTCGCGGCTTCGCGCGCTTGAAGACGGCCAGCGCGTACTTCTCCGCGCAGCGCCCGCCGATGACCGAAATTTTGCAGCTCTTGGCGCTGAACGTCTAGCGCGCCGCGCAGCGCGCGACCGCTGGTGTCGCAAATCAATGTGTAGAAAATCAAAAGTTTTGAGCCGACAGGCGCGCGGCCAATGAGAAAATCTCAGTCGCGACCTAGCTAGAAAGCCGGCCGCTGCGCGCTAAAGTCCCGCAAACAGCTCCTCGTCTTCGCCTCCGCCGTCGGGCGCTTCTTGCGGCGCCGCGCCCGCGACGCGCGCGAAGGACGGCAACCCGGGGCTCGGCGCGGCGCTGTCGCTCGCGCCGCGGTTCGCGGCCGTCTCGTGGTTCGCGCGTGCGAGTTCCTCGACTGTCGCGTTTGCGTCTGCGTCTGCGTCTGCGTCTGCGTCTGCGTCTGCGTCTGCGTCAGCGTTTTTCTGCGTTGCCTCGCGAACGGGCGGAGCTACGCGCCCCGCCGCTCTTTGCACGCCGTCTGCCGACCACTTGTGCGCTTTGTCGCTCGAGAATTCATGTAGGTCCGTTTCCGCTTCGAACGCGGCGCTGTCGTTCGGAGCGTTCTCGGAGACGCGACCGTCGTCGTTGACCGCAGCGAGGCTCGCGAGATCGTAGTTGTAGCGCACGATCCGCGCTGGTTCCGGCGGGAAGTCTCGGACGAGCGGCTCCAGCGTGTCTGGCTGCTCCGCCGCGCCGCTCGTTGCGAGCCGAAGCTCCAGCGAGTTCTCTGCGTCCGACCAATTCAGTAGGATGTCTAGAGTCTCTGTGAGTTGCGCTGCTGGCAGAGCGTTGCGCGCGTTGGCCACTGCTTCGGGACAAGTTTTCTCAGCCGCGTGCAGGGCGCGCTCTAGAGCGCGCTGCAGCTCCGTGGCAAACGCGGCGTCGCGTTCCTGCACAGTGTCGCCGGCTGCGGGCTCGACGCAAGCGTCGCCGTCGACGGAGCAACGCCCCGCATCGGTGCCGTCCGAGGGAGTACTGCGCGTCGTCGCCGGTGGGCGACCCTCGGCCACTTCGGCTGCGTGCCGCTGCGTCGCAGCGGCCGCTTGCAGCAGAATCAGCGTTTCGGTCGGAAACTTGCGAGTGAACTCGGCATTTTGCCACAACTCGCTGAAGCAATCTGCGAGCTTCGGCAGGTTCTTGCTCGCTTTGCGGCCGCCGGCCGCGAGCGCACGGTTGCACAGTTGCAGCGCAGTGAAAAAGAAATGGCACACACCGTTCACGAGATTTGAGTCGTTCAGGCTGTCGGGCAGCGGCTTACATAGCTGGAAACAGTGCGTCGCGCGCAGCTCGTCGAGTGCGTCTATGGCGCGGTTCACCACGTCATCGAGCGCCTCTGGCTCTCGCAGGAGCGCTGCCTGCAAGTATTCGCCAAACGAGTGGAAACACTGCTGCAGTGTCTCTCGACTGATTGACTGCGGCACCGCGGTGAAGAGAACTGCGAACAGCGCGAAACTCTCGCGCACGCCTCCGGCGCACGCGACGATCTTGTCCGTGAGGACGCGCACTGCGCTGCTGACTTCTAGCGAGTGCAGCTTCAGCAATGCGACGAGCTTGTTGACGACCGCGTTGATGTTCGCCGGGTTGGCTAGCACGCAGAGCAGCCGCAGAATTTTCTCGACGACGCGCGTGTCGTCCGACCGCAGCAGCGCCAGCAGCCGTTTGTGGTGCGTCTTTGCAGCTGCTGGCGACTGAACCGACTGCTTGCTGATGAGGTCTAGCGCAAACGCAATGAGATTCGGGTTGTGCGAGGAGAGAAACATGTCGATCAATTCGTTGGTGCATTCGCTGGCCGCTGCGCTCGCGTCGAACCGGATCAGAAACTCGACAATTGCGTAGCCGAGACAGAAGTGAATCTCGGTCTCAAAGGGTAGTAGCGCGTATGCCTTGTGCAGCGCGGCGAACTCGAGCGCGGGTAGCGCTACGTCCCGCGCGAGCAGAAAGCTCGCGGTGCGCAGCAGCGCGAGCAGGAAGTAGAACTGGTCGGACGCGTAGTCCGCCACCGACGACGCGGAAAAGGAGGAGAACGCCGCGTTGATCTGCGTCGCGACGAGCGTGGAAAGCTCTTCGGCGGTTTCGCCGCGCGCGAGCGAGTACTCGCGCTTGTTCTGCACGAGCGCGTAGCAGAAGAAGTCGAGCAGCGTTGCGCGCAAACCGCAGGTTGGTTCGGCCACTAAGACGTAGAGCGACTGAAGCAGTGCAGGGAAGTCCTCGAGCGCGTCGCGGTCGAACAGGCTGTACAGCAGCTGCGCGCCGGCGCGCTTGGCCACGAGGTTGGGCGAGTGCAAGAACTTGCGCAAGCAGCGCGCGGCTTCGGGCTGTGCTTCTTCGGGCAGTCGGTTCGCGCAGAGCGTCACTGCGGGCACGCAGAGCGAGCTTTTGTACAGGCTGAGGTCGGCGATCAAGCTGTTGATGATGACAACCAAAAAGGACTCGTTCGGCGCAGCGCTCGACACGTCGATGAACAGGTACGCAATCGTCTTCGCGTAAATGTTGTTCGACTTCACGAGTACGCTGGCCGCGACCGCCGCGTCGCTCACTAGGCGCCCGGACACGTAACAGCAGAGCGCGCGCAGCAGGAAGTCCTTCGCTTGCGACTCCGGCTCGAACGTGTAATTGGCCTGCTTGATTTTGGAAAGCTCGTCTTTCAGCGCGACGAGCTCCCGCTCGAACACGCGGTCCTCGTCGACGGGGTCACTGACAGCACTCAAACGTTTGATGAACGCCTGGTAGCGCAAGTGCCCGATGACGTCGTAGAAAAAATTGATAGGAGCTTTCATCTGATCGCGCGATCAGTGCAGCGCCGGGGCGGATTTTGATTTTTGAAAAAGGACTCGGCGAAATGAATTACTGAGCCTAATGCGGCCGAAAAAACGCGCTCGAGAGGTCTCGAAAATTGCGAAGCGCAGCGCCGCGACGGAGCTCGCCGCCGTGCAGCGCAACAGAATCTCCACGCTGCGGCAGGGGCTTGCGGACCAGAGCGACGCGCGCGTAATGGAAACGCTCGCAACAGAGGCGAGCCAACGCGCCGCGGCGCACGCGAGCGCAGCGGCCGACGCCCGGGCCGACGCCCGAGCCGCAACGAAGCACGCCGGCGAGAGCGCAGCGGAGCTGCGCAAGGACCGACACAGGGCGCTTTTGTACGGAGCAATTGAGCAGGCGGACGTGGTGCTCTTCGTGCTCGACTGTCGCAACCCGCTGCTGTTCCGCTCGGAGAGCCTGGAGGCGCGCATCGTCGCTAAGGGCAAGCGCTTCTTGTACGTGCTGAACAAAATCGACACTGTCGGCGACCTCGCGGTGGTCGAGCGCTGGAAGCGCTATCTGAGCCGCTGGGCGCCGGTGGTGCCCTTCAAGTGCTTCACGCAGAAGTTGCGCTCCGCGAAGGCTTCCTTCAGTTTCGAGACGCCGAGCTGCGACGCGGTCAGTGCTGCGCAGCTCGCGCACGCGAGCGTAGTCGTCGGGCTCAACGAGCTGATCCAGCTGCTGACGCGGCTGGGTCGCAGCGGCGCGGGCAACGCCGCGGGCAACGCCGCGGCGGCGAACACCGTGGTGTGCGTAGCGGGCGGGCCGAACGCGGGCAAGAGCTCGCTGATCCGCACGCTGACGCGCGGGTCCGACGCGGCGCGCGCGGGCGACAAGCCGGGGCTGACGCAGCACGTCGCAAAAATCAAGGTGACGAACCACATCAGCGTGCTGGACACGCCTGGCGTGCTGCTCTGCGCGCCGGAGCGGCTTGACGAGCTGGTGCTGATCAACGCGTTCGACGACTTCTCTCGCGTCGACCTGCTCGGCGCCGTCGAAAAGCTGTTGCGGAACGCCGCGTTCAACGCGCAACTGCGCGCTCGGTACGGCTTGACGTGCAGCGCATCGCTCGAGGGCGACGAGTTGCTGACAGAGGTGTGCAAGCAGCTGAACTTCGTCGCGCCGGGCGGCCGGCTCGATTTGCGTCGCACCGCGCAACACGTGCTGCGCAACTGTCAAACGGGCAAACTGCGCTACTTTGTGGAACCACCGGTTGAGGACGCGGACGCGGACGCGGACGCGCCTCTTCCCGGCGAGCTGGAGCTCAGTTTCAGCGCGGAGCCGCTCGCGCCGCTAGACCTCGACGGCATGCTCGCCGGCGCGCTGAAGCAGTAACTGGGAAGGTGGGACAGGCGCGGCCGCTGCCGTTCCGTAGGCGACGCAGATTTCGGCATTACGCAGCGCAACGAACAGCGGTCGGCTTCCGCGCGTAAAACTTGCGTTAATTTTGCAGAACCGGTGCGAAGCCTCCCGCAACAAAGTTAGTGCGAGGCGAGTGCTTGCTGCTCGCGCGGCAAGCGAGAAGCAAAATTCGACGCCCGCTTGCAGCTGGGGAAGTCGTGTGTTGCGCGCGACGGCTGCAAGGGATGGGACTCGAACCCACGCGACTCTCGTCAGAAGATCTTAAGTCTCCCCCCTTAACCACTCGGGCACCCTTGCGCTAATCGCGCCCGCGGGCTGCAGCGGCTACAATTCCGCCTTGAAGAGCAGATATTGCTTGCTCGAGCCGCCGAGTTTGACGACGTCGCCTTCTTTCAGTTTGTACGTCTTCATCGGCTTGAGCTGTTCATTGTTCAGGAACGTGCCATTCGTGCTGTTCAGATCTGAGATGCAGAGCTGCACCTCGTCGGACTCGGCGAGTTGCCGGTAAAAGAGGCAGGCGTGTTGCTTGCTCACGCTCAAGTTGGAGTTCAAGATTTGCGCGGTCGCGGGGTCTTTGCCGAGGATCAGAAACTGCGTCCGGATCGGCTCGCAGACTGCCTCCGGCGCAGTGGCACTTACTTTCGCAAACGTTCGCCTTCAGCGCGGCGATGCACCAAATCGCGTCGACGCCGAGCTTCGCTGCTGCGGGTTCGGCGAAAGACGCGTCTTTCGAGCCCAGCAACTGAGCGACTCTCTCGTGATCAGCTACTGAGTTCATTTATGCGATCGATTTAATTTGTTTACAATTTATTGGCACCTCTGGAGACTGCGGATGAAGCTTCTCGGGCACGAGACGGGTCTGCAGATCAAAACTGTCGGTACGTTCGCGCAGCGCAGCAGCAGGCGAGTTTTGCTACACGATCCCGCGCGGCAGCGCAGGGCAGCTCGCGCTAGAGAGCGTGATCGGGGACGCCCAGTCGCAGTTCGTCGTGCTGCAGCAGGAGCGCTGGCAAGAACTGCTCATGCTGTTCAAGCACGACCGCCAGCTGCTCGCAGACCAAGTGTGCGCGGGGAGCCGCGCGAACTTCAAAGCGAGCCTGAGCCCGCTGAGCGAGTTGGGCACGGCGCCCGGCC